TATTTAGCTTTACGACACTTACGGCATCAAGAAGACATTGTTTATCTACAAAATTATTTCCAGACATAAACAACAAAGAAGAAACTGGCAAAGTAAGGCATATTAGCCCTCACAGCCCTAAGGTGGCTCTTTTCACAAGGAGAAAAGGAGAGTCACTCTCCACTTTTCTGCTAGCAGAAAACCAAATTAAACACTGTTCACAGATCAAAACCCAAATGTCTTAAAATATTCTCAAATAGATAAATACATCACTATCTATGTAAACACGGGATCAATCTTTCACACTTGCTTTTGAAAATATTGTTTGTAATTCGGAGATATTTTTAATCTTGCTCTATCAAAGAAACTTAAGGAAAATGGGAAAGACTTTCCTCTGGAGTTTAACACACCCATCACTACCACAACTTCAACGAAGATCTTGCATGCAACAGGCAAAAAACCACTTGTGATTAGCGCACTACATAACCTTTTCACCTTTTTTTTTTTGCTGACAACAATATTTATAAAAATAATATAACTTAAAATAGACCAAGAAGACATTTGATTCCTTGTCTAATAGTAAGTCTGTATTAAAAAGTTCTAGCATGTTTTTAAAATGAGAATTTAGAATGTATCTTCAATGATTTCACCTGGTACTAGTGGTCAGAGCAATTTATACATATGAAAGAAATGTATTAATTGCCTGCACTTTTGGATAACTAAAAGAAAACCCACCAAAAGGTAATAGTCTATGAACATCTTCACATACACGATCTTAGAATAGAACAGTTCAGTTGGAAGGGACCTTCCATGATGATCTAGTCCAATTGCAATCTTGAAAACAGCCTTAAATATAAAAAACCAAAGGAACTCCCCAAAACTAACATGCTGCCAACCATGTAGCTGCTTAACAACTGAACTGGTAAAGCTTCATGGTTCAACTAGGTTTCTCCTTTGGCTGGTCCTACATGGCTTCCAGAAGTCCACAACAGATTTAGACGAGTGTTTACCCAGCATAGCCTGTTCCCAAAATACAGTGGCTATGTACAACTTCCAACGCATCCTTTCTGCAACTCCTAAATATTGCTCTAATCTGGGAGGAGAGTGACTCAGTTCACATACTGGTTCCAATCACAGGAACCCACTGCAATATCTGTCTCTGATATTATTACAAAAAGTAACGTACATTCCAAAATAAAAATCAACAAGTTGGTAATCATAGTAATCCTGCTGTTTCCTTGCAAAGCAATTTACACTGCTTTTATCACCATAAATCTCCTGTAATATTTTAAGCCTGTAACAGAAATCTGACTAATCAAAAACAGCTGTTGTAATCAAAAGCACTTTTGTGATGGAAAACCAAAAGCACAGTCAGCAAGATACTTATTAAAATATATATATAATTAGGTAAACTTTTAGAATTGCACCTTGCATTTTGGAAACAGTGGCCAAACTGATATACTACCATCTTCCCATCTGCTGAGTAACTAAATTTATTTTTCACTTGTAATATTTTTATTTACTAATTCAGAAGGTTTCCAAAACAGCAGTCAGAACGGACTTACATATGATTAATTCTTCACTATTGCAATTTTAATCTCAAATAAGGTTATCTTGCAGCATACCTATTGACTCAAATATGATTGTCTGAGTTTTACAGTCTGGTTAATACATACAGCCTTAATTTCAGCATGGCTCAGTTGTAATCACCTAGCAGCTATCAGAGAACACTTAAATATGTGCTACTATCACAGCAACAACAAAACAACTTACAAAAACAAATAGCTTTGACACGTAAAGGTGGAATAAACACCATAGAAGCTGACATAAGAGAAACAGGAGGCACAATATTTAAAATAAGATCTTCATTTACAGTTTCTAGAATGAAACGTCAAAAACTAGGAAACAGCCAACCAGCAACTGAACACAGGAAAAAAAGGATTACATTTACTGATCAGTATCTCAACTTAGCTTCTCCTGTAATTTTTGCTGATCATTTCAATAATATGAAGTATATTCTCCAATCATGCCCGCAAAATTAATTAGGTTAAATGAAATTTCATAAATTAAACAAGTTGTTTGGATATTTTTACAAATAGTCATTACAGCTTTGAATTGAACTATTCATGACATTGCTTAATACTTGCAGCATGCAGCTTCTGCAGTATCACTTCTACCTAAGCAACACATGGAGAAAACACATTAAAATAAAATAAAAAATTTTGAAAAACTGGAGCAACCACACTTTCCAACAATAAATATAACTAACATCTGTTGCAGAAACTGCTTGGCACTTGTACAGTATTGTGAGGGATTTTTGTTGTAGATAAATATTTTTCTACAATTCCTATTACGCACCACTCAACTCAAGACATTTTCTTTAATTATACTCCTAGGAGTCCTTTCATATCCATTAAAGAAAGGCAATTTGTTGCCTAAAGGAATGCATACGTACTTCTAAATTTCAACTGTGATTCATCTGTCTTTACAACCAAGGAAATACCTATAATTAATGGATTTTGTTCTGCAAAGATGTCTAGTAAAACACTCAGTGCTCAACACATTATTTTTGTTAAATCCTTAAATATGCTCTTTTTGAAATAAGGAATCGTCTTATGATTCAGCATTTTACTTTCGTTTCACATATCAATAAATGAGGACAACAGCACAGCAAAGCCTTTAGGAAAGAAAGAAATTTCCATTTTAACATCGGCAAAATAAGGCTCCCATTTTGCGTATACAGCAAACACAGGACATAATTTTTTCAGGGACAAAGTAACAACTTTGTGACATTCTCCTTTTTTTTTTCTTTTTTTTTTTTTTTTGTAATTTTGCTTTCCACTATTGTTAAGTAAAGAATTTCAAAGACACACACTGAGCTCTTGATACAGGGTGGGTTTTTTCCTGAAAATATGCATAAGCTTTGTACATTTAACAAAATTCTTGTATTCAGCATTTCATACAGACGCAAAGTAGCAATCAAGACTTGTTTGCTATGATAATACACCAGAAGAATTTTTTTTTAAGACAGCATGCAGTAGAAACATATTTAAATGCTATTGTAAGCATACAAAGACCTACTCCTCTACTGAGATACCAAGCAATTGCTAGTGATGGATGAGGAGAAAATGAGGGCACTGTCAATAAAAGAGAAGAAATGCTAACTCTAAATACACAGAAGATTCAGTTCAGGCCCAAAAGTCTATCCACATGGTCTCAACCGCAAAATGGAGAGTTACATGTATAATTTGTTGTAAATCAAACTAACTGGCATGGCATCACCATTCTTATGAAACTGGACAAGGAACATTTCTTAAATACTTATAATCAAAATCCGTAATTAACTTTAAACCAAATTTGGCTTTTTTAAAAAACACAAAAGTAGTAGAATAAAAAATACATAAATCATGTGAAAAAAGCATTTCTGTTGGTGGAAATTGTAATCTGTACGACTCTATGAAAAAAGTAAAAAATCAAAACACCTTGGATATATTTGGACGAATAAAATTAAAGCAGTTGTGCCTCAAGATATTGTCATTTTTTAAGTGGAAGATTTAGGAATACATGCTTTGCTTTTACATTGCACAATAAACTAGAAGAGATTAATAAAATTATAGATATAAAAATCCATATTACATTTTCTTTAAATATTCATTACTTCTTCCTAAATCTGTTTTTAGATTAAAAGAGCTAGAACTTGTAGATTCTATCCCCGCATAGTTTCAGTTTACCTTTTTATGTAACTTTATATTCTAACCCCAAATTCCTTTTTTTTTTTTTCTTTTTCCTAAGTGCAGATTCTTAGAGAAAAGGACCAACAACGTAATAAAACATTTTACAGTGTAGCCTACACAGTTCTCAGTTATTTCCTTCCTCTCATATTAAAAGCATCACGATACTCCAGTCACGTTTACACTTCTTCTTCTTAACACATAATAAGCTTAACTTTTTATCCGCTATTTCTTTTGGTTAAGAAAGGAGGCATAAATAGCAATAAACCAGTATGGAAAGTACATACATCTATACTGTACAACAGCAGCTATCCTACAGATCAGTAAGTTTTGCATTGAATTGAACCGTCATTCTTCAGAAAGATCGTATTTTAGACAAAGAAGTGCATCTAAGAAAGCAACAAGTTTAAATACAAAGCAGCAGCACAGTAAGGTGCTGAAACAGTTTTCACTCCACTGTAATAAAAAACACCACTCACAGATCAAACAGGAGATTTCACATACAATCTTTAATAGGAAGAGTCCTTTAAATGACATTTATGAACAGAATGACACAACCAAATATTAACTATTTCCTATAACTTGAGAATAGTAAGTAGAGCTTCTCATGAAGAATTGGTAACTTTCAGAATTTCCTCAAAGGTATGTGACGTGATAGGAATGTAGGCAAGATGAATTTTTCAGAAACTTAAGAGCAAAGGGTACACTGAATAGAACATTATATTATAATTTACTATTTGTCAGCTACAAACTAGACAAAGACATTATTCCTTAAAAGAAGAAAATCAGAACAAGTTAAGGACTTCAGAACAGGAATTGCAGCTCTGCCCTCACATCAGTATATAGCAGTTCAGAAAAAAAGCTTTTACATAAAAGATAACCTATGGCTGCAATCTATTGCTTTAAGCAGTTGTGAAGAATAGAGTAACTGGGTAGTGCAAGATCAAAACTAACAGCAAATAAAAAACCCCAAACTAAACAAAAAATCACTGTCCCAGCAGCTTTAGATAAGCTCAGTCTAAAAATGACTTTTCTCCCTTAAGCAAAATATGGTGAAAGCAGAACTGTTTGTATCCAAGTATTACCTGTCTGTTTTCCAGAACAACTAAGGCTGTATAGAGTGCATTAGACGAAGTTCTTAGAGGCTGGGACTGTTCTTGGTCTGTATACATACAGCAAAGCATAAATGAGGCCAGCCCTTAACTAGGATATCAGGGTACTAAGTAATACTGGGTCAGTGGTGTGCAGACAGTAAATATAAACAGGCAAGATGCTGCCATGTTAACATACCTCTTGTACGGAGCGAGCGGCTGGCTTGTCTTGATGATTGGCCAGTATTAAAAACGGCAAAGTACATAACTGTGGATGCTGGAGAGCAGAATGCAGTTCATTCCTAGCAGTTTCTAGATCATCTTCAGAGGAGGCACTGTCTAATACAAATATTACCCCTTGGGATCCTTGGTAGTAACGACTCCAGTATTTCCTGATATTGTCAGCCCCTTTCAAGACAATAATAAGAACTAATTAAAACAAGAACAACTAAACAGAGTTAACACTTGTATCTGAAAATTACCCTTCTACTTAAAACAATCAAAGTAATGGGCTAAATTTTCTCTCCTAAATAATCACCTTTGAAAGAATAAAAAGGAAAAAAGCAACCATAAATCACACACACAAATGTCAAATTAACGTTATTTAAATATGGAAGGAATTTGACTCAATGCAGTTTTCATCCCTGAAAGTTTCTGCTCCATTAATGAGTACTGGCAGAACTACTGTGCCTCCAGTGCCACATAGTCTAATCCTATACCTTCTCACTGAAATATCTTCGTACTGGTATCTAAACCTTTGCCATTCTCTTTGACTTAGCCCTGCAGCTCCTTGCCATAACCTGTAGCTTCTGTCATGGCAGTTGCTCATTTCTGAGCACGATAAGGTCTTTCAGTTCATCTGAAAACCATCAGGCAAACACTTCATAATTGGGGAAAAAAGGTGTCACAAAAGCTCATTAAAGTAATTAAGACAGTTAATGAAGAGAATAGTGATACAATAGTGAGTCAAACAGCGAATGAGGAGCTACGGTGACAACATACAGTGACAAAGGCATTCATTTCAACTACTTTTGGTCTGTCAGCCACACTAAGGAATCTGGAAGACCCCAACAGTAGACATGAGTAACTGTACAGACTTATATGCCACATTTTTAGGACACAGTTCAGCAGCACTCAGCCATCTCTACAGAAGCCAAGCAATAAGGTTATCTACAGAAAGCTTTTGTCTCCCCTGGAGAGCAGCATATGTTGAACACTGAGGTAGGAAAAAAAAGATTGTATTTGACAGCTGTCAAACCATCTAAACTATGATTTGGATATGAGCTATTCTTTGTATGTCTGAATCTGGCACTACACTCATGGGGACTAACACTAGAAAGTGAACAGCAGCAGTATTATTCTAGTAGAAAATTTGACTGCAAGATGGTGATTTGCAGAAATGTGCTGAAGGTATCCTTTAAGATACTTTTCTCACTTTGAGATAGGAAGAAGCAAACTTTAATGTAGTTACAGATACCAAGTGCTGATAATAATGAAACTCCATTTTTTAGCGAAACAAAAGAACTCAAAAGTTCTAAGCAACATGTAGGCACAAAATGAGAATTTAATGCAACACGATTACAATAGCATTGATAAAATACTCAAAATAATCACTTAATTTATACATTGTGCAACAGAAAAGACAATCACTAAATAAAGGTGAAGAATAAATATCTATAAAGGAATTTACACCATATACTTTAGGCATCCAACTGAAGAGTATTTAAATCTCATCCCATGGAGTTACTGTCTTCTCTATACCAGCCACACTGGAACCTTAAGCACTCGTTTTCTGTATTCTGCACCTGGCACAATTTAGATGGCTAATGAACATCGTGAACACTCACGCACTTTTTCCTGCAAAAAATATTGAAGTCATACCTGAACATTTTTTTTCTACAAGAGATCTAAAGAGTTGATTACTTAAAGGTAAATGCTTATGGGATTTAGTAAAGACCTTGCTTAATTTCTCTATTAATTTAGCCAGACTCAAAGTAACAATGTACAAATAGCACAAGTGTTTCAATTATTTTATCATCAACTTCTGAAGATCAACATTACTTACACAGAAGACAGATGGCATCGAAAGCTAATTCTATGTTTCTGTACCACTGGAACATCTACCAAATGTACTTGTAAAGAATTTTATAGCATCTGATAGATGTCTTTACAAACAGCTCTCTATGTCAGAACCAAGTAGAGCAAGTTGCCAGAAGGACACTATTTACATAGCCACACACAGCAGTGTCACAGGCATCTGAAGTATCACATTACTTTAAAAACTGGTAGAGAATCATTTTGAATGAACTGAAAGGGCAACACCATGATCAGCTCTTTGAAGGTTGGGGTTTTTTTCCTAGCAACATAACATCTGTCTGTCTTACTCTAAGCTTCAGCCAGCTACTTTTCAATCACATGTCGCTGCCAGACCCTGAGTCTTATCTTTGTAACCGTACTATTTCTAAAGAGAAAAATTGTGCGGTGAACTGCAGAGCATTTGACCTCTTGTATCCAGGCACATGGAAGAAAGCAGCTCATGGATCCCTACACAGGACACTGGAGCCAGAAAAGCACTATGCTGATTTGTTGACCTTATGGTCCTGTCTTTTTGGTTCAGGTTCTTTAGCTGCTCAACTTTGTTTCTGCACATCAGCTGTCTCAAAAGAAACACCACCAAAGCATAGTAGTCCTTTTGTCTCCAGCCCCAGCCAGTCATTATGGCATAGTTATACGAATCAACTAATAATGTCCGACAAAACTTTGTATTTCCTTCAGAATCTTCCATTAGAATAACGACCCACACTGAACTCGCTTACACTTCAATTCTGAGGAAATCACAGCCTGAGGTTTAAGAATAAAAAAACTGCACTAAGCAGACAAGAAAAAAGACTGAGAAAACTGTACCTTGGGGTGCCATGTTATCTCATTTTTCTGGCAAATGCACTTGAAAAATGATTCTTGGCATCAATAACTGGAACACACAATTTCTACAAGACAAATAAGATTCTATTCTTTTGCCTTAACTTTTCATATCCAGGGAGCCTAACATGCTCTTGGCTTCTTTCTCCAGACCATTAGGTAGTATATTGTGGAATTATCCTAGGCAGGAAATGCTGGCCTGTGAATAGTGATCCAGCCATCGCACTTTACAGCATGACAAATTCAGTCTTATAGAGTAAGCAGTTGTTTTTAAAAGTGCAGTTTAGCACAGACTATCCTATGAATTACTCTTTTCATCTATTCCAAAGGTTTCTAAGACACAGAAACTCAAAGTCTGAGTTCTTTGGCAATCCAGAATGTAATGTGCATCCATTAAACATCCTCAGGCTCTCAGAGACTGCTGAGACAAAAACAGAGAATTAACTGGTACCCAAAATGTTCTATCAAACAACAGAAACACACAAGATAAGTACTCAGGTTTGTCAGCCTAGTATCATGTGTTTCTCTAACAGCTTTGCAGGCACATGGCTGTTTTTTCAACCACCTCATGCCTAAACTAAGGTTAAAATGTGACATTCAGTGTAGTATTTTCCTCAGACACAGGCAAGTGGCACGACTCATGCCTAGGCATATGATTTGTTTCCCTCGGCAATGAACCCACGGGATGACTAAAACATCCCATTTACAAATAAATTGGGCAGGGTGGGTGAGAACACACAATACCACTTAATAGAAAAGATAGTATTCAGGAAAAACATATGCTTGAATTACTTTATAAAAGAAAAATAAAACCACCCTCCTTACAGATAAATGACAGGGTGCTGTAATTAAAAACCTCAATCATTCAGTATTACTACAGGGCAAGTTTATTCAATGTTCAGCATTTTAGAAAGTTTTCATTTGTCATTTTTTAAATATCAAATAAATAAAATCTTTTTTTGATTATCAGCCAAGGGTATAGTATGTCCACACTAACACCATTTACAATTTGTATCAGTGCCAATAGTACCCTCTCAAATGCCTCTTGAAAGCTGGGGGGGAAGACTTTGAGAGTTATGCACAGGTTAGTACACATCCAAAACAAGCTGCACAGTTATGCACTCCTGTAAATGTTATGCAAAATGCAGAGCCGCAAATCTTCCTTAAAGCTATGAATACTTCTGTTTACATCTTCATTCACAGCAGCTTGAGGCTACCTTCAGTTCCTCCTTTTCAGTTCTTTCAGGAGAACAGAACACAGCATTACAGAAAAAATTCACTGAAAGCAATTTAAAGGTGTCAAATTTGTTACTTGTCAGACTTGCAGCAAGTCTCCATCGACAGCACAATGAATTTCACGCAGCCCTTGCTTCAAGATAGTCTAGCCTGCACATGAAAGCTCTTGTTCACCTCAAAATACATCACAGCTCCAGAGAAGTTATAGTCTCAAATCCAGGGAAGAATTCGTTTTCCTTTCCACCAAAAATAGTTAACCTGGGGCCCTCAAAGACTGGAGGCTGCAACCAGTTTTTCTACCACTTCAAGTATAACATCCACTCACCTGAAATAAAGACACCTACCTATTTTGAAGGTTTTACAGTTGATTAAAAAAATATTTAGATAATTCCTCTACTAGTATTAAACAGACCATTTCTAATTAGCAAAAAGGTGAAAAAATGCCAAGGAATATGTCAACTGCACCACAAAATCTTTTTGCAAGAAAGACTGGCCCATGGGTAGGGACTTAAGCAGCAAGGCAAGGGGAAAAAGAAATCTCTTGTCCGTTCTCGCAAATCTTTTAAACACACCCTACCCTCCCCACCCCAAGAAAATATTATTAAAAGAATTTCAAAACAACTGTTTCTAAATCTACATAGGGTTTCTAATTTCACTTCCCATCGTTTACTCCCAAAGAAAACTTATTTTCTTAGGTAATCAGGAAGATATCTGAAATCTTGGAAACCTTAACACATTTGTAACAGATGTGGCTGCTCCTTATCTATCTTGGGCATACACCCTATGTAGGTCTCTCAGTAGTCCCCTTGAAGAAATACAGCATATAGATTTTCTTGTTCTTTTTTTACACTAGCTATTTTTCAACCCGTTAGTTCCTTTTAGTTACAAATAAAGTTATAAATCCTTTCTAAGATACCTGCTTTCTATGTACATGAGATCTGCCTGCACTGACAGACACATCCACACAGATACATAAGTTTCCTGCAGGTGTAATGTCAGTCACCATTCGATGGCTATTTCGTACTGCTACTGCTTATCACTAAGCACCAATACAGGTGCTAAACCAAAGCCTTCCTGAAGGACTTTTGGTTTCTCGGGTTTAAGACCAAGCAATCAGGCCACTTTCTTTAGCCTTTCAGGCAGTCCACTCCTGCAATCATACACAAACTTTGGCAGCAAGAAATTGGCAGGTTTCTTTCCTGAGAAAGAAACATTTTGAGATTGCCAGATCAGATATTTTCACTGCTGCAATT